AAATACTTGTTCTTGTCACTGAAAGAAATGATCATCTATTAACGCCACTAAATTCTGGGAACTGAATTTCTGGTTATACGATATCAGTTATGGAGAGCTAAGGTTTTGGCTAATTTCTGTTCCTAAATAAGCTCAAAGAAAAAGTTTTCCTTCAGTCAATGCAAGTTTTGGGTCAGGCTTTTCTCAATTATAGCTAGTCTTCCTTGATTGAGCAAGAGAGGTTTCATATATGAGGTAGAACCGAATTCGTAGGTTGTGGATTAAAATTCTGTTTTGGTGTCCAGAACAATTACTGGTTAGTGGGTATGGACTGGTGTTGGAGAAGGATTTTGAAGAGAAAATATCTACTTCCTGGAGTAGTAGTATTTTTTCAGCACCTGATACTCATTTTAAAGTATGTTAGCAATTATTATTGTCTGATTGTAAAAAAAATCCATTACAGTATAGTATTTTTAACCACTTTCTTCCTAACTCTTATGACATTGTAATGGCAAGCCAAATTAAAAAAAAAAAAAAAAAAAGCTTTGGATGCCAGATAACGTAAGATGTAATACTAGACACTGACTGCTATCAGGATTGTCCAGAAGTAATTTCGATATCAGACTGGTGTCATAAGACATTAGTGCTATTTGAGGATTTCTCAGCATCTTCATCTTTGATCTTTATTCACACACTGCTGTATTAGGCAAGGTGAAAGTAGGGAAATAAGTGGGATCAGAACCAGAAACAATTTTTTCTGTGTTCTGTTTCTAAAATGTTGTTTCTCAAAACCCTTTGGCGATTTTGGTGGCACGAGGGATATTAACACGTATCTTTCATTAGGTGTGGGAGAGGTTTGATCCTGACAGAAGTGACAGACATTAAGTCTGTGTTGTTACTATTAAGTTTTTTGTTTTTTTTTTTTTTTTAAACCAGGGCCTCATTATACTCAAAATGATAGATTGTGACATCTAAAACATTAGCTGGTGTAGGGAGCTGTTTCTGCTGGGGAGTCTGCCTCAGGCCAGTGTAGACTTTTCTGTTACAGGTATTTTCATCTGTTACAGCTATTTTCTTGCGTGGGTGGATAAGTATCCTGCTTTTCCAAAAGACAGAACTGTGACAGACTGATTTTTCTCCCAGATCGGATAGTGACAGTTTATTACAAAATGCTTATAACAAAGCCTTCTCCCCATCTTCTTCAGAATGGGGTAAGTTCACTGGGACAATGCACACCTTAAGGAGTGCTGTAAATGAGGAAAAAAGTGGCATTTATTTGTCTTTCCATAATATTTTAGACCTTCTTTTCCATAAAGAAACGCCACTGCTTTCTCCTGCTGGCACGTATCTGCTTTCTGCAAGAATCTCTTTAACAGAAACAAAGTGAAACATAAAGTAGTTTGAGACCTTTCCTCCCTCCCCCAGCAAACACATGTTAATCCAGTAATTCAGTTGGGTGTGGGAATCCTTTGCAGTTAGCATGAAACATACTGTCCTCCTCTGATACAGCTGAAATATCTTGTATTGCACTTATGTGATCTTAGTCCTAGGCTCCATGTCACCTCTCAGGAAATTCTGAGCAACTGGTCTCTCTTGATATCACAGTTCTCTCTTGATTTTTCTTGCTTCCTACGTAAATGTGGCTTAATTTCATGAACTCTTTTCAAGCGTGCTGTTCTTGATTTTCTTACCCTATTCACGCCATGTTTTCCTGCTCTGGCAGCTGAAATCACTGGTAGAAGTTACATGTTTTAATTTCCTGGAACTGTGAAAATCTGATGGTTTGCTGTGTGTGTGAGCTGTTGGTGGAGCTGCGGTTTGCTTTACTGAAGTGTGCATTCGTAGAAGGGTGTCATATGGTTTCTTTCTCACAGTATCTAATACAGTCAACTCTCTTCACCCAGCTGACAGGGAGGAAGTGGCAGGAGAGAAGGGGCTGGAATATTTTAAAGGATGGAAATCCTGAATGGTATGGGATGTTTGGAGGAAGGGGATATGAAGACACCGGATGGGCTTTGCAGGGAGTCAGCCCAGCTCCGTCTGGGTTGGTTAAACCAGGCCCTACAAAGAGCCCTTGTGGAGCCAGACCAGCTCCACATAGAATCACTCGAGTTCATCCGTGTTGCTCCCCTGGTTGTGGATGGTGCTCTGGTTGCAAAAGTAGCATTGCACAAATGCAGAGCCAGACCTGGCCTTGGGCTGCACCTGAATTAATAAACCCTTCTGGATCCCTGAACAAGGTCCAGCGAAATTTGAGTTGCCGTGCAGGAACCAGCGTGGAACCAGCAGGACTGGGGCAGAGCCAGAACTAACAGATCCTGGTCATCTGAATTGGCTCTGTGGAGATCTTACTCTGTCATAATCATATTATCATATCATAATTTATTCCTTAACTTAATTTGAAATAAATATTGTGATGTTTTATATCAGGATAATTATATTTCCTGTCTTGGAGGCATGTCTGTGGAGAAGTCCTGCTTCATGTTGCAGTAGTCTTTTATTGAGAAAGTACTTCAATAGTGAGCTTTTAATTTATGGTCAGTCCGTAGTTACAGAAGCAATTATTTGAATTACAAATGGGAAACTCAGCCTAGTATTCATGTGGGATGTAGTTTGAGATTTTAAAATAACGTGACAAAATCAGTCATAAACTATTATGGAGGTTGTTACAATGACTTGCAACTGGAAGATGGGATTTTCTTTTTTTCTTTTATTAAAAGAGTAATTTAAACAGATCTTGCGGTCTGTAATCAGGAAAAGCATCAGAGTAGAATCAGTGTGAGAAGCAGGAGAACAGTACTGAAGCACTTAGTGGTGGTTTTAAGTTTTCATAGAAACTTTCTGAACAGAAGAGTGATGCTGTAAATACTGGAGACATTTGAGATTCATCTGGTCTCTGCAACTCGCAAAAGTGCCACTGCCGAAGGAGCTGCAGCTCCTGGGAATTAGTGACTTAAAAAATCTCAGGATTTTTTTGTACAGCACATACACTGTAATTCTGTACTTCTGGGGGCTGTGTGTGTAAAGAGATACTGGTGTCTTTTATACTCAAAATTTCTATGGCTTATTACAGGAAAATGACCTCTTGCTTTCTTTAAGAGACTTGCTTCCAGTCTTTTTATGTAATGTAATCACAAATGACTTATAGCATGTTTAGTTTTGTTCTTCTGGTGCAAAGACTCTTTTTGGATAAGGAGCAAACTGTTGTATTGCAGTCTGCAGAGTGTTGCTATGCATCTTGAAGAAGTAATGCCAGTAATGTCAGTATGGTAGAGGCAGAATGTGGTTTGTTTTTCTATGCTCTGGTATAATGGAAAATAGAACAAAGTACATAAACTTTTAGCTTCTTGCATTTGTGGTGTGAAAATATGCAAGATCCTGTAACTGAACATACCTGCAGTTTTCAACAAATGTTGCCATAGTGGTTGCAAAAAGCTGCCAGAGCATACACTGGAGATAAGAAAGGGATGGTAGAAAAATAAAGCAAAATACAATGAAATGTTCAAAAACAGGTGCAGTGGCTTTGAGAACTAATCCTACCCTGCTGTGCATCACAATTTAGTGAAGCTCTGTAGTGAATTGTAGCAGCACTTGTAAGCAGTGTATTGCTAAATTGCAGTATCCCAAGTGGACTTAGTTTTTAGGCCTTTTCTTTCGTGTGCGGAGGTGGGAAGGAAGGAAGGATAGGGAACTAAATGGATAGGGAGTAGCTATCTCTTTCACAGCTTGTCTCTAACGAAGCCTTTTGATCATGGGCCTTAAAATAGTGAGGTTCGAATGTTTGATGTTCAGCTGCTGTAATTTAGCTGATGCATGTTTAAATTTGAATGACTAGTTACTGTGTTGTTAAGAAGCAAAGCACAAGAGCATGAAGGAGGAAAGAATAGGAGGGACTGTGATCCTCCAGAATTCGTAGAATAGTTTTATTCTGAACCCCATCCCCAAATGGTATAAGTAACTTAACGCTCCTTTTTGGAGTGTGTATGCAAATTAAGGGAGCAAGAACGCTTTTGTCTTTTGGGATGCATGCAAAAGTGCAATTAGATTATACATTTGGTTTTGCTACAGTCTCCACAGAATTGCATGGCTGTGGCCAGCTTGGGTAAGTGCAGACTTTCAAGGGCATTCGTATGTTTGGATATAAACACTTGCAGTTTGTTTACTTTTTTGGGTCAGAGTCTCAGGAAGTTTGAGCCTGAGTAGAGGCTGCATGTATGCCTAATTACTTTTGTAAGTGTTTTTTGTTCACTCGTGAGTTTGTGCGTGTGCATGAGGGTATGTGGTATCTTCCTCCTGACGTGCATTATCTGTGCTACAGTGTCTTGAAAATACTTAGCTGTTTGATGTTAGGCTTGGCCACCTTTGAACTACGAGTCAGGTACTAAAATCTTAACGCGGCTTAAAGCTATAGGATACTTTCTACGTGGTTCAGAAAGTCCCAGGAGCTTGAGGCGTGATCCATACATGAGAGGTGACAGTGTCTCCCCTATATTCCTGTTGCTCCAGCCAAAGACAAGACTACAGAGTCAGCAGCTCCCACTGGTTGGTTTCCTCCCCTAGCTGAGGACTAGATTTACACAGCAGCTAAAGCTGGCTCCATTTTCTTATCAGTCACATGGCATAGCCTTCACATGGGAATGGCGTTTGAGGGCCAGCGGCCTCCTGTGGATCAAAAGCCACAGCTTGGCCACCCGTAGTGCTGCCGTGGTCAGTTTGAGCTATGTGTTCTCCACATCTCCAAGTATCATAGTGACCGTCTTCTGAATTTGGCATCAAAAACTAAACTATAAAAAAGGTTGTTATTGTGAAGGGCTGGGCCATACCTAGTCTGTGACTTAGTTTCACTGTTTGAAAAACAAAGCTGAGCATGCTCAATAAGGCCTTGAGAGGCTTGTCCGTTTTTTCACCACATCTTATGACTTGGTAGTGATGAATACAAGCAGTCTGTAAAGAAGTAGTTTGTGACTGTAGTTTATGTAGCTCAACTAACTGACTGGTTTGGATTTCTTTAATTTTCTTAGGTATAACATTGATCCTGGTTTGTACTGTCCCTTCTTCTCTCTTGGGGCGTGCATGGAAGGTTTGAACTCTTTGTTCAGGCAGCTCCTAGGAATCTCCCTTTATGCTGAACAAACCCAGAGAGGAGAGGTTTGGTCTGAAGATGTTCGCAAGTTGGTAAGTGTTGCTGTTCCCAGCATCTGAAATGACAAAGGGAAGGTTAGGCAGGATTGTCTGCTCTTTAAGAGGCTCGAGTCAGATTTTGTTTTTAAATTACTTAGACACCTATGCGTAGGATTTCAAAATGATCACTAGCTGTCTAATTTTAGTTGACGTTAGGCCTCACGGGCTTCATACTCTCTCCAAGTGCCTTTTATATGCTTGATATTTAATGGCTTTTAAGATATGTCTCTGTTTGAAGGATGCCTGAATCAGAATCAGTTTCTCTTTTCAGAGATTATTTTTGTACCTTTCACACAGCCTTTCTGAATGAGCCCTTTTGGTTTTAATTTGTAGATGGCTAGAGATGACTAGAATGTTATAGGTGTGTATTCTAACAGGGATTTGTCTTTTCTTTCTTTTTTATTCTGTATGTCATCTTTACCGTAGATTGTTTATTACTTCTTTATTTTCCTACCCTCTTTTTAGGGGAGGGTAGAAAAAAAAAAACCCGGCAGTTATTTACTCATCAGGTTCCCAGGTTCATCTGTTGTGTTCCCGCCTTGTATTCTTCACCATTCTCTGCAGTGAAAGCTACTGTTCTTTATATCCTATGGGTCAATTTATAATTACTGCTTTCTTTTCTTATTTTTATTTCCATGCTAAATGAACTGTTGTCACTCTTGACTTCTGAGAAATCATTTAGGGACTATGGACAGTGTTTATTTTAATACTAGTCTGTGACAGTAGTGAGTTTTGTAAGATGTAGGAATGACTGCTGTTTGAAGGACAAGCTCTGAGTCTTGTATATATATTTTTTCAAGTAAAATAAGCAACAGATTTTACATTAGAATCATTCCTGGATTATTTGTCATATATGCGTTATAAATCTTTGGATTAGAATAATATTTCTTTAATTTACACATCAGTGCTTTTACTGTGGGAAATTATGCTTTTCTTTTTTCAGGCTGTTGTTCATGAAAATGAAGGTCTGCTAGGGTACATCTACTGTGACTTCTTTCAACGACCTAATAAACCACATCAGGTAACATTTGTGATCTGTTTTCAGTGTGGGTTGTATGTGAGTAATGACTGTAGCGTTAGGGCTGCATGAGTTCAACAGAAGTTCAGCTATGTCTGGATGTGTAATAAACAAATTTAGACATGGAAACGCTATAACTTCAAATATGGTTTTAGATAAAATATTTTTGTGAATAACTTTTCACTTAGAAAGCATCACCTGGTAGGCTGAACTCAAACTGTTTGCACTACAAAATGGTAGGCACTATGAAATTTCATAAACCGCTGTTTAGAGAAATGGTAGATTTTTTAACACCTCTTTTCTGGCCTGCCATCTGGGAGTAAAATGCCCTCTAACTTAAGGCGAAAGCTCATCGTGACAACTAACTCTTATTCAGAATTCTACTCCAAACCGTAGATGATTCCAATTGTTGAGGCTGACTCACTTGCTCACTCGCTCTGTCTAATGCCAGTATATTAACTGTATGATGCAATACAACAGACCCTTCACTCTGTAGAAACATCTGCAAATTACTGCCTTTTATGAGTTTAAGTGGACAAATCTTAAATCTGCATTATATTTTCATGCATTTTTAGTGTAGTCTGTTTTGCTAATATTTCACAGCATATGTGAATGCTGTGCAGTATATTTTATAATGGAAGTTATTACTGAAGAATTAGGAGAAAATTTGAATATATAAATTGCAGAATAGCATATCAGTAATGTGCTGTGAGCTGGTTGTTTTTTTTTAGACAAATGGAGGAGTTTTGGTACTTGTAAAAAAAAAAAAAAAAAAAAAAAAAAAAATCTACACTTAAATTTTATTCTCCAAAGGAAGCACAGCCTTTTCGTGATGGATTAAGGTAGTTTTCTTACAAATATGAAGAAAATAATAGAGATGAGGGAACACTGTGAAGATTTGAGGTCAAAATTCTGTTCTGCTCTTGAACATTACCGTTAATGATAACTAAATTCAACTTGTGTAATTGAGTACCCGTTAAGGTTTAATTTGATACTTTCACCATTGCTTTAGTGTCATTAAAATAATGGCATTGTTCACCCGTATGTTTGCTTTTTATCTTCAAAAGGATTGTCACTTTACAGTTCGTGGAGGCAGGCTGAGGGAAAATGGAGAATACCAGCTGCCTGTAGTTGTTCTTATGCTTAGCCTGCCCCACTCAACGAGGAGTGCACCAACACTACTAAGTCCTGGCATGATGGAGAATCTCTTCCATGAAATGGGACATGCTATGCATTCTATGCTGGGCCGAACTCGGTACCAGCATGTCACTGGTAAGGAATTTAGAATAGTACTTTTTTGTTTTAGTTGAATGTTTAATTTATGGAAGAAGGGGGTACATTAAATAAAGGAAAAAGAAAAAAAGATTAACCAGACATGACAGAGTCATGTTGATACTTCTGCACCTTTACTGACTTGAGAATTACAGTATCAGATCCCCAAAAATTACCTAAAAAACAAACAAACAGCACTTGATTAGTCTTCCTCTCCTGATAAGAATTTTGGCATTTGTATCTCTTCTTTCTGTACAGCTAATTTTTTTTCTAGTCATGTTATCCGCTATCTTGCAACTTTACCTCATAGGCAGTTTATAATAAAGGAATAATGGGAGGACTGAAAATAAATTGAGCTAGCTTGTACCTGGTATAAAAACACAATGAATCCTAGGTTGGAAATGATTTAGGAAACTGAACTAAGGAAAGTTAGTAAATTAATTTTCTGAAAGGGTGCACACTGGCAATACTGCAGCTCTGTAAAGCCAGGCCTTTTCTAGCTGATTCTGATTAAAACAAGCTCCATAAATTAGAGATTTATTTTATCTGCAAGTGTGATTAACTGGTGGGCCTTCTCATTGTAGCTAAATGAACAGGAATGAATATGCAATCACAGCTAAGCAGATGAACAGAAAAGCAAGACTGTCATTTTTCATGTAGTCATTCATCTCGAGCAATGGTGGTCATTGTATTGGCTGACAGCTAGCAGGCTGCAGTGACCTTGTTCTGCTTCAGTTGTGGCAAATGGGTCAGAGCCATGCTCTGGTTAAAACTGCTCTACGTGCCAGTTTTCTTATCTTCAAACAGCCTGCTATATTTTCTTATACAGCTGCGAAATGAAATGTTTGGAGTAAAAATTTGTTTACTCGTTTATTACTAAAAAAAAAAAAACAGCACAGAAACAACCCAGATAAAACTGTAGCACCCTTATCTGAACGATTATTTTATGTTACACCCTTTTTGTACTGCACTAACGGTAGTAAGGAGGGTCCATATTAGAGATACTTGTTACTAGCAGATGCATTGCACACAGAAAAGAAAAGAATCTTTCTTAAGTCTTCTACTTAATGTTAAAATAAACTGACTTTTTATCAATATGTTACTACTGGACAGTGTTAAAACAAACATGCACTGTATATGCTCTTTCGATAGAAGCTCTGAGTATTCTTTGAGCCATTTAACTGCTCTCGTCCCGCCCTTTCTCACACATGGCCTCACTCCTCTTGATCCCCCGAGCATTCTTGGTACTTCTGTCTCCCAAGTAACTGCTTCACTGGGGGTTCTGCTGATGCAGTGAGAGTATTATATGCGTATGCATGCCAGAAAGTCTTGAAGGGGCAGGAAATTGCTGATTTTGAGGCTCAGACAGTCCCTGAGCCCTTGTGTGTGGTTTCAGAGTTGCTTTCGCTGCAGGCAGTCGTGCTTCCTAGGGGGTGTCACTCCCGACCTAGTGTTGCAAAAGCAGCATCAGAGGCCACGCTCACGTGTTTCTCCAGAGAGCGTTTTTTTAAGGTTTGGAACGTGTGATAATCGAGTGGCTCATCCCAGACGTGTCTGCTAGGGGCCATCTGCCCTCGTCAGGCACTAGAATAGCAGAGTGTGGAAATCAGATGATTACAGGCTACTAGTGTGAGAACAAAACATACTGAATTCTAGTTGAGATGAACTGAGTATTTGACATCTTCTTTGCTCTTCTGCCCCTACTTTTTTTTGATTGCATCCAGGAATATTCAGGAACCTCTTCTGCTACCAGTAAGCCCAAAACTTGGATAATACTGGGCACAGGAAATTTATGACTTAAGATGTGCATCTTTTCCTACCAATAATTCATTTTATTATACAAATTCATTGTTTGTTTACTGAAGATGTATGTGAAAAAAGATTCTTATTTTTTTAGTCTGGCTTCCATTCTATTCCATTTTACTTTACAGTGCAGTAGAGAATAGTTACGTGTGTCGTACAGGAGGAATAACTTTTCGCAGATGACTGTCTGACCTTTTACCTTTCTGACTTTAAGACAGTGTAGTTTTCAGAAGTCTCTCTAGTGGTTAGAAGAAGAATTCTGTCACGTTATTAAGGAGGCCTGGGAAGGCATACGTGGCTAGAGGGACATCAGTGTAGCGCTGCAGGCACTCCTCTTGGGACCAGCCTTGTTTTAGGCTTTAGTGTTTTGCAGACAAAAAGGAAAAATGTAGTAATGAAATGTAATGGCATAAGAGAAGGATTGGGATGTTATACAAGAAGAACTGGATGGCTGAATCCTGCAGTGCTAGAAATAAAATGCAACTCTGAACTGCATAGTGCAGATCATGCATTCAAGGAATACAAAGAGAAGTTCTGCTCTCAAATGGAGCTTATCGTTTAACAGGGGTGGAAGAACAGAAAAATAGTTGTATGTGTTAGTGCAAGGCTTTGAATAGCTAATGGGTGCTGTCCGTGAAGAGGGGAAACGTGATCTGAGACTGTATCAAATGTGTTTCTGTTAGAAATAGAAAGTATTGGTATGGTTAAACTGGTGAAGCCTCATGTAGAATGTAGTTCTCTATCTCTGGTCTCAAGGTGAATTGAAACTGAAGCAGGTGCGGAGGAAGCCTACAGGACAATGGACAGTCTTTTGGACTTCAGTTATTTTGCCTTATGTTGTCTGAGAGAGAATATAATTTCTCTCAATTTAGGAGATAAGTAACTGTGGGAAAATGGTGTTTATACTAAAGAGCAGTATAAGTCTGAAAAATTTGATTCCAGATTATGAATTTAGGTTAAAAATTAGAGAAAGATTGGGAAAGACCAAAAGAGTGATGTTCAAAAATAGCCTCCAAGAAGGAATAGTAGAAGCAAAAATCATAATTGCCTTTAAGACAGGTTTTGAATATTGAGGTTGCCTCTAGCAGACAGGAGTAGAGGTGATGACCCAGTGGGTCTCTGTTATTGAAACAGCAGCTTTGTACATGTTTAAGTTTTGTGTAGAAATCAGAAATGCAGCTTTGGTTTGGTAATGGGTTACATAGTGAAAGTTACTAAGATGTGTAAGGTGCTAATAAAGATTAGAATAAATAAGATTTTTGTGAAAGTGCTTTTTGAAGATACTAACTGCAAAACAGTACTTCATTGCACGTAGAACATGTCTTGAATCTGCAAAAGAGTTTTCTCTGGATGATTAACTTTGTATTGTAAAGTGAGGTTAATATAAGGCATAAGTAAGCTCAGCAAACAGATGGAAGGTAAAAATCGTAACTGTGAATGGGATTAAGGCAGAGTTTTATTTACATTGTAGTTTGATTTAGGTTTAGGACAGCTAAATAGATTTGGTGTTTCATGTAGGGCCAGTTTGGCTGCAGTCTGGTTTAGTTTAAAAAAGGGTGTGATCCAGAGCTTTATAAGGTGCCTCACCCAGCTGTTCAAATATTTTGTTTTACTTTGTGATTTATAATAAAATGTGTAGGATTATAATGAAGCTTTTCTGGCAATATGTACAATAATGCTATGGAAATAAAATATTGACTTAATAAATGAAAGAACATTACAGTTCACCAGAGGTCCAAACTGAAAGCTGCAGAAACTTTTGAAAAGAGTTAACTATTTGTGTTAATGGAAATGGCTACATGTTAATACGTTCAATTCTTCTACCTCTAGGAACCAGATGTCCTACTGATTTTGCTGAAGTTCCCTCAATTCTGATGGAGTACTTTGCAAATGACTATCGAGTGGTTAACCAGTTTGCAAGGCATTATAAAACTGGACAGGTAGGGAAAATTAGTATGTAAAATATTGAAAATAGGGTTAAAGGTATTCAGGAAAAAAATCAAATTTCCATGCATTATTTGTTTGTAACGCTTAAAGTAGAAATAACCTGTGGATATAAGTTATTTTAATTATTCAGAAATTCAGAGAAAGTATTACTGTTCTCATTGCAGAAAAATGTAATCTGTAAAAGAGCATCAGCTCCTTAAATATGAAGTTCTAATTATGTATTTAAAACTTTCAACCCTTTTTTTCTTGGTAAACCAAAATTTAATGTAGTAGATGAACTGCTTCTCTTCTGATTCATGTCTTGTGGAATGTTAATTTAATTGCAGGTAAGTACTGACAAAGATAGTAATTTAGTATCAAACTGTATAAAGTCTGTCTTAAAATAAAACTCGGGTACCAAATCATGGAAAACATGGAAACGATCTGCAGTGCTAAAACCCCATTTTTAGCACAATGTAGGGTAGGGTTTGAAATATTTTGTGATACAATTGTACTGCTTTATTTAGGATATTAGATAGTTAGATCCTGGCAGTCATGAATCTCTGTATTAAAACTCTGATTCTTTTTTACACAACGTTATTCTACGGCAGTCTAGTGCAAAGGTCCACTTTCTGCTAGAAGTTCAGAAAACAGTGCTCTCTGGAACAGGGTGATTTTCAGTGGCTGCTAATTATTTATGCATGGCAGCATAGCATGATTTATATTTGTGCAAGCATTTCAAAAATACAAACCAGTAAACAATAACTACCACAAGATCTTTTTCAAATGCTTTTCATTGAGGCAGATTTCAGAGTACTCAGATGTTACGATGACTAAATAGCAGACTACAGATCACTGTGAAAACAAGAAAGCTTTTTAAAGTGTGTGACGTTACACTTTCTGTAAGCCTTTTATCCAGTACCAAACATTCGGCATGTTTCAGTATGATGGAAGTGGAATTATGTTTGCCTCTGCTGTAACTGTTCAGTTAGAAAACAGTTTGCATAACTTCTATTTTGATAGATACTATCTGAGAAATTTCCTCCACAGATCTGCTTTCTTACAGTGCAGTTAATCCTGCTGAGCATTACAAAGGTCTGCTTGAAAACTGGGAGTTACAAGTACTCAGTTTAGGAGTGTTAATCATTTGTATGTTTGAATCCACGTATTAAAATATTGCTTTCTAGTGTTTTCTGTGAAGTTTGTGCAGTGTTTAAACATTATGGAGTTAAATCTCATTGCTTATGAATTCAGAGAGTGAGCTTGAGTAAAACATCTGAGAGGGATTTGTGGAACGTTATTTATGGCTTTGTGTCTACAAAATGGCTTAAGAAATCTAAACCATGTTTTGTTGCAGTGCAAAAGCTAAGAACCAGGCACTGTATCTCATTTGGCACTTCCAGAAAATGTCTTCATGTTTATTGGTGGTGAAATCTTGCCCTTTCAGAGAGCTATTGAGTGAGCTTTAATGTAGAAATTCAATCTTAAAGGGGGACAAGAGTGGATTATGCTGGAAGATTAGGAAAAGAGCCTGAAACTACTGTGTGGCTCTTGAGGGTTTTAGACTGCTTCCTTTTAATTGTGGGTTGTTTTTCTTTTTTGAATTTAGAATGTATTTTTAAACGATTATCTAACATATATAAATCTGCTTTTGCTTATGCTGATTATTCTAAGCCAGATTTAAGAAGTTGATACTGGATTTCTGTATCTGTGATTTAAATACAAGTAGATTGAAGTAATCTTTTCTGTTCGTGACATTGTTGTTGTTACAGCAATTACTTACATTGGTTGTATGTAGGTTTCCAAGTACTTGGAATAGTAAATCCCTACTCTCTTACCTTTAAAACTTCACAAAAATCCTTTTGGGACTTACATTTCCTATGTTTGTTCCTAGAGTCATTTTTTTGTACGCATATAGAAGATTTAATCAACATTTTCTTCTCCAGTTTTTGAGCTATTTGAAAGAAAAAATGAGTCCACTTTACCCCATTTTCAAGCAGGAGTAAGGAAGCTGGCTGAGAAACAGTTAAAATGTGAAATTTGGAAAGATTTTTCATGCAAATTTTGTTCCATATGATAACTTTTATTAAGTTTCCTCTTATGAATAAAGAGATACCAAGCTTTTCTGTGCAAGAAGAGTCTTTCCTGCAGTAACTGTACCACCAGAGTTCTGCTACAGGTAGACAGAAAGAGGATTTTTTTACTGACCTGACTTCATGTTGAGGTAATTTGAAAAAGTGACTTTTTTGGCATTGCTGCATCTATGCGATGGTTTTTGCATGGAGGTGTTGAATTAGGTGGTATGATTTTAACACTCCTACTAAACATAATTATGTCAGTGAAACTGTAGTGTAGTCTCTCTCAGCTTCCGATTGCTTTTGTCATAAAAGCCAATTGTAGAAGGACTGGTCCTGAGCTGCAGTCCTCACTGAGGATCAATTCTTTCGTTTACGGGAAGAGGCGGGGGGAAAGGGGTGTTGTTTTGATTGTTGAAACATATGAACTGTTGAAAACTGTTGAGTAGCATTGCAGGAGAAAAAAAGATTCTATGGGAAAGTTTTCAAAGATGAGAATTATTGTACACACAGATGTGGATGACAAGGATCTGACCCGAAAATGTTGAAGCTGATAGAAAGCCTCTCTCGGCTTTCTGTGCATTTTGGACAGTTCTGCTGTGAGTACTGAGGAGCTCAAGAGCTTGCAAGTTCATCTGGCAAAAGGAGCAAGTCTTTTGAATTTAGTTCAGAAAGCTGGTCAGCACAAAAATATTTGTTCCAAGAAAGTAGCAAGCCTGTTTTTTTCTTTCATCTTAACCCAAAACAAAAAAACATGAGAAAAAAGAACAGAAAGGACTGTGTTGATTAGTTACTCAAGCTGAGTTGCTCAGGTAAGCTCGTGAAGTCGAGACATACCAAAATGAGCTTGTAACAATGTTAAATAGACGATCTGGTAAATGTGTACCATTCCATCACTGTGTTTGTTTGCTTAGTTTTGTTTGTTAAATGCATGGATATGTGGTCGCTCTGTTGAGCTAAATCATTTTAAGCTTGTGTGTCTTTTGGAGGCTCTCTTGAACAAAAGCCAGTGTTTCAGCTGTTCAAATTTGAACTTCATTTTTCAAGAGATGGAATTACAAAGGCAGTATTGTATCGGAGTGATTATAAGAATAAACCCACAGATAGCAAACAGTCTTAGCATGTTCCTGTTACTGCATAGCAGTAAGGAGTTAAGCATGCCTTGGGAATCTGGAACACAGGGAATTTTGTTCTTTTAGCCACCATGGCAAACGTGCTGAAAAATTCATGCCAAGATCTTAATGTTACTTAACATAAAAGGAAGGAAAAGAAGAACCCAAAGTAAAGCATGCAATGTTTAAATTTTAAAAAATGAATGGTTATTCAGTATAAATCATGTTAGCCAAAGCGCTGTAAAGTCCTTTGGAACGAGGATGACAGTTTGACTCTGGTTTTATCAGACAGCTCATCTTTCAGGATAAAAAAAAGAATCCTGTTGCTTTTTTTTTTTTCTCCATTCAGCTGCTTACTAAGGAGCTATGTGAGATCCTAACAGAGTACGAGAAATAGTTTCTGTTGCCTAAAACAGTACCTCTTCCTCAGTACATTCGAGACCTCAATGTATCTGTATGCCTGACATTCACAGACACAAACTTTAGAGTGAAATAGTGGTCTTTGAAAAGACCTTCTGCAGTCTAATTCTAGTTCTCTGAAGTCTTAAGTTTTAAAATCCCCGAGGTGCTCTGGGAAGAATAAGTGATCTCCTCTTTATCATTCTTTCAACTTAATCTATTTTTACTACTTTTTTTGTGGTGTCAAATTCTGCTTGGCTTGTGAGTTACGATCACAACATAATCTGTGATCTAGATCCATTGCCCTGTTTGATTTATACAAATACAACATTTCTATCTTTCTCCTGTGCTTTTTTGTCAATAGGTATTGTCATAAGAGAGATTTCCTCTTAATTTTTATCTGCTGCAACAGTAGCGTTTGATCTTCAAGGCGACTACAACTTAACTTACACAACTGTGAATGCAGGGAATGCAGCAGTAGAAATTTGTTACTGCTACTTTTGATTTGGCATTTACGTGAGAGGCTTGTCTGATTAGTAAGCGTGTCCTCTGCTGTGAGTTGCTTGTGTTGCGACTGCACCCCGTACGGACAGTAGAGGCAAAGTAGATCTACATTGATTGTTTGATACTCACAGGGCTGCAAAAAATATAAGAATTTTCTTCAAGGCTCTTGGTATTATCTACGTTTTGCTTGGTCTCTAGAAGGTGGTGCTAGGCCATCTCCTGTGCAAAGAGAATTGGGCAACTTTGAACGTTCTCTTTGGTTAGTACACCAAAACCATTAATGATCATTTCTGGTTTTCCCCTTAGGAATTCAGTTTAGAATATGACAGACGCTGATAGCAGAAGGTAAAGAAGAGATGGATGAATGCAGAGGCTGCCTTTTCAGTAGTCTCCCCCAGCTATGGGCAGTACAGTCAAAAGAAGGCAACAGTAAAAATGTTTTCTTGGGAGTGGGGCCTGTAAGGAATGGTTAGCTCTGAACTGAGACTTAGACCTGCTTCAAGAGTTTCTGGAGCAAGGCTGGGTGTGACTGTCTCCCCTGGGTTGGTGCGCGGTGTCCGTCCTTATCGTGGAACCTTTCTGCTCTGTGTGCCCGGGAGCTGGGAACTTGGATTTCCCAATTCGTTAAGGATCTATGGGACTGTGGTTTACCAAAGTGCCAATTAGCAAAGCCTGAGTGTTTTTTGTTCTATTTATTTTGTGTACCAACTGAAAGCCTGTACACTTAACCTCCTCTTGCTGTTCCCTAATACAGCTGAAATATAAAATTGGAAATCCATTATGCTGAAAGAACTGCTTTGACCTTAATGATAGGAGTGCTCTTGACTTTAACATTATTTAATTATAGCTGCATAAAATATACACATTTGCTGTTGCCAAGCTTTTGGATGTTCAGCTTTTTTAACAATGAAGCGTTACAATTTAAGAATTCCCATCCTGTATCCAAAATACAAGCACCCCTAAAAGAAGTCCGTTTTGTCTTATTCTATAGTGCACTACTTCACTAGGAAATGAAAGCTTCCAAAAAACTGTCACCATTTTCTGATAGGTTTGGTGCTTAGAACAAAATACGTTCAAAATGTTGTAGGTTTCATTACACAAAAGAAGGGTTTCTCCCATGACAACTAAAACTGTGTTTACTGCAAACCCACATGTGCTTTATTTCCAGAATGAAAAGTCATTGAAGTACATGCCTCATATGGCATATTTAAGGGAATAAGACACGGCATGTTCATAGCACCGGGAGAAGAGCTACCCAGCCACAATACTTCATACCATTTGCAAATCTTGCTACCTTACTACTTGCCTTAACAACCTTTCTGCACAATTAAGTACTGTTTTAAATACTGCTAGATCCAGTATGGAACCTCAAGGTAGTCAGCTGGTAACATCTTTATTACATTGAACAGTTGCCTGTTGCCTCCTACTCTAGTGGTCCAAAATCATCCTGTAATTTGAAGTAGAATTTTTGTATTTGGGAAAGGTAAATACTGACATAACAAGGATACACCGTAAGACAGATGTTATGTTCATTCATTCATTTTCTGTGTTGAAATTTAACAGCTGTGCGCATCTACGACAGGCAAAATAGTGGCTATTGTTGTGTACTGTTCTCGACCCAGCTAACGTTTATCTTGGAAAAGAGGTTACAGACCTTGGCAAACTACTACATAAAACAGCTGTGCAACTTGAGAGTTTTTCTTATCTGCTTTAACATCCAGATTCCAGAGATTGATAACATTTTCCTCACTTAAATATAATTTTTACAGTTAAGTTCTGTGAACATCAGATGGTTTGTCTTGAAGTCATATCATTTGCACAAATCTAAACCTATGGCCCTGCCATCAGAATCTGTAAACTTTGTGTTTCTTAAACACTTCAACACATTATAAAAGCGTAGGTATGTTTTTAGAGTTCAATGTGATACCAAACATCTGTATTGCATTGAACAACCTTCAATATCTTTTTAAATATTTCTGCAAGAACTCAGTTATTTTAACCAAATTTAATATATTGGGTTAATAAAACTGCTGGCAAAAAAGAACAAGCTTACTAGGAAGACCATTTTTTGAAAGGCTTCAGAAAGCACTGGTAAGAAGCGTAAGGTCAAGCATTCACATACAGGCATTCTTAAAAACCTGACATTAAGCAATCTTTGGTGGTATTTCTAGAGATCTGGATAGAAAGTCAAAAGGAGTTTGCTTAATGACTTGAAAAATGTCTCATTTTCAGTCTGTGGTAGCATGGATAACTGGAAAATTTTGAATTACTATGTAAATGTAAATTACTATGCAAATTTGTTTAACTGTGTAAAAAGTGGAATAAATTCAACTTTATTAGAAATTTCAGAAGGTAGATATTTTCTGTCAGTGTGACCAAACATTTTTATGTAGATGAGGATAGAAAGGCCTAGTTCTGTCCCAGTTGAAGTTACAAAACCCTGCTGGCGTCAGTGGGAGTTGTATGGGGATCCAAGTAAATCTTAATAAACTATGCTGAAAGACCAACAGGAGAATTTACTGTAGTATCTGCTATTGAAGATTAGATGGGATGACATGGGAAGACTTTGACAGTCCCATCTGTTGTTCTTGATCTCTAAAAATAGTCATAATAGTTTTAACAGGCAGACAAGGGAACAGAAGATCATTTTATAAAAAACAAACACTGAGACGCAATGATACCTTGGTTATTATGTAAAGTATTGTATCTTAATTTCCCATTTAATACTTTGTGCAGAAAATGAGATTTCCTTCCTCCTTGTTAATTCCTCCGTGCAAAGCACTTTAAAAGTCAAAGATGTTTTTACTACCACGAGTCGTTTCTGTGTGTCTTAAGCCTTTGCTAGTAATAAGCATAGTATTTACAAACTTTATAACTATTCTAAATACGTTCTAACTTTTTTTTATTCAAGCCACTACCGAAAAGCATGGTGTCAAGACTGTGCGAGTCCAAAAAAGTGTGTGCTGCAGCTGATATGCAACTCCAGGTACGGTCTTTGCATTCTAGTCTCTAGTCTGTATCCGGAACTTACAGAAAATACTTTGATTTCCTACAGTTTTCAGGAATTTTTGTTTTAATATAAACACGTGTTATTTAAATACATTCAAATTACAGAAAGTGAATGCTTTTTGACACTCATTTTAATGTATGTTTTGCTTAATATATTCTGTGCTATTTGAAGCCAAATGCCTAAATGTGTGGGACAAAATTTCTTACTGGAAGAAAGCCAATGTCACGCCTAAAAATGATTGAATTATCAGAATTCTCAAATGTAGTTTAAGTTTGAGCTCGTAAATGCACAGAATCATTTAAGAAGAACTCGTTGCAGTAGTGGAAGTATTGTACACCTTTAGGTCATTTAAATGTACCAGGGATGAGAGATACAGGGCACCTTAAAATCAAACTTATTTAATTACTAGAATATCATTTGAGATCATTGTCTTCTGCAGCTCCAGAATGGAAGTGGCAGGTTGTTACAAAAACACTGCTATCAAAATTGGTGACTGAGCTATAAGGCTGAACAGCTGATAGACTTTAATTGCTGCTACTGACTTTGCATATCACCAAACTGCTGCATGCAGTTAAAATAAATGGTTAACCCTTCTTTTTAATTTGAAATTAGTATATGCTCCCAAATCTTTTTTAGTGTTTCTTTTTAGTAAAGAAAAAAACTTACCTCATTTTGATAAAAGTATAAAATGATTCTAAAAATACAGCAAATGTAACAAAAAATATCTAGAATCAGATATATTTATTTGGGACAGGATGTTTTGAATATAACTTTTATCAATGACCAGATATATCCTTGTGCTTTTGTTTTTAACTTGAAGTCGTTCAAACTTCTCTCTCACAGTGTTATGAGCAGTAATTAAATTCATAAACCTCTTTTTTTTTCCTGTGGAGAAATGTGATTGATCAGTCATTCCCATAAATAAACTACTAGTTTTGCTTTTCTTCAAAGGAAGTAAAGGAATTTCCGGTACTATCTAAAATGGGGATTTAATTTATTTCAGCCCTGCTACAGGAATTCTCGGGTGTGAACAGTAACGTTAGCATTTAGTCGTGGTTTTTACAGTGGGAGTTTGGTTGTCTTTAGCATGCTATAAGCTTCTGCTGTGTGATTTTTGTGATTTCTTTTTCTTTGCCTTCCCTTAAGCCAGAAGCATTTAATTTTTCTTACTACAGTTGGCATTAGGTGGGATAACTCTATTACCTCTGTAAAAGGTAGTCATTATTTTTGAGATGTTGAAAAAGACAATTTTAAAGATAAGGTCTTTGTAATTCTCCTATTTGAAAGGTGCCTAAATGATTGTAACTGTATCTACGTACATGAGTTACACTGAAGTTCATTTAAAAAACAAATTAGTTAAGTATTTGCATTTGGCTGTGTGCAGTGGTTTTTAGTGGTTTAATACTAATCAAAACACTTGAGTGTGGACCTGTGAAAGTATACGTGTCAGTTACACTAATTAAAACCAGACTTATGCTGTTTTGAGTGTGCGTGGATTTTTCATTGGTTTAACTTAATGGATTTTTAAATTATGCTTTCAGTGCAACGTTTGTTGTCATTGGCCAATGTTGGTTGTGCAAGCAGTGTGAACAAGAAGGTACTACATGTGCTTATATACCTCTGTGACATGAAAGTAATTGAATCCTCTCTGCAAAGTCTGATTTTGAAATGCACATTTCTTCGTCTGAAAGGTTCTCATATAGACATATAGATGAAAATCTCTATCATCCAGAAAGAATGTAGACAAGAATATAATTAATTAATGAACAAGTTTTTTGGGAAAAAACAGTTCTGTATCAAAACAAAATTTTATACTACGAATGCTTAGGAGTGGATGTCTGTTCAGGAGTTCCACCAATTTAGAGTAATTTGCCAATGTGCAGATTAGGAGCTGATGATGATCAAGTGCTTTTGCATGCCCAGTTCATTGATTCTGTATCTGTATAGATCTGACAGATTTAGCATTTAGTACATATTTGCTGCATACCTGTCACAGTTTGAGACCACATTGTCAGCGTGGAGACTACATGGGCTTGGATACCAGAAGCACTTTTAGTCACAGATATATTTAATATATCTCTCTGACACATCTTCGCTGGCCTGTGGTGGGAGAGATGGCGCAGTCCGGAAGGAAGTCGGGGGTTGGCGTGGTGGTCCCAGCATGCGCTGCCCACCCCGTGGGCTGGGCTGCCGGGTCCCCCACGCTGTCAGCCCCCAAGCACGTCTGCCACCGGAGTCTGTGCCAGCTCTCTCCCGAGCGACTCCGGATTCCACAGTTTCAGGGCTGGGGAGAGGATACCCACTTCTGATGGACTCAGATTCCTGCAGCACCTGACAATTGTGCGCCTCTGCTGCTGGCGCTTACAGTCTGCCCTTCCGGAGGGTTCTCCATCCACTGGCAACAATGCAGTGATTAACAGGCTGTTTAATTACAGGGGGGTAATTTGGGGGTAAAGTTCAACCAATCTCAACCCATGCCAAATTACCACAAGGCCATACTCAACGATATTATTTATTTCCTACTCTTAATAGAATATTTTTGGCGCTTCCACTTGTAGTGCCTGCAGAAGTATACACTCGTTCCAAAAGAGATTGGGTGGCAAAACCATTCTGTTCATTAATTCAGAAAAAATGTCCCAGAGAAGTTGATTGCCTGGTAAATATGAAGTGCACACATTCCTTTGTGGAAATGTGTATTGTTACTCATACAGGTTTGAAAGTATAATCATTCATTTAAGATAAATATATATTTTAATCTGCTGATGCCCTACTATATGTGTACTACTAAATCTATATACTTGAAAAAACACCATGCATGCAAATTTGCAAAAATACCTGTGGGTGTTTATACTCAATGACTCTAATA